CAGATGCTTGAAGCCCCAACGCGCGTTCCTTTCGGAGTGGCGTACGCCCATGGGTTTCCTTGGTACGTCAACTGACAGTGACTAAAGTACCAAATTAATATTGTCTATATGTATAGATCCGTTCGCGAATTAGGCTGATAAGTGTGTTTTCAACAGGGTTTTCCTTCTTCATCCATACATACGTTTGAGTCGTTTCTAAACGCAAGTTATCGATTTATTTCTGAAAAATTAATCGTTTTTACTTTTACTTGTACTGTGAGATTTCCTTTCGTCTTAAATTTCAGTATTTTAGTATCTAGAAACACTTTATGCGTCTTAAGCTCATAGATACTGTAGCGAGCACGAGTGTGTTTGTGTGCGATCGGGCACACGTGTGCGCGAACGGCTTATCGATTCGCAGACTAGTCGCGGATGCCTTTCTTCATGTGCGCTGTATTTGTAAATGTGTGTGTCGTACCTGCGTTCTGGGAAAGCAGTTAATCAGTTCAAAGAAAAAATAAACTATTCGGATGTTTCCAGAAGGTTCCAGGAAGTAAACAAAAGAGTATTTAAAGGAAGAGACCAGAGAGGAAGAAGAAATAAATTAACCGTTGCAGAAGTGAATCGAGAAATCGTGTTCTGATATATATGCAATTGAGCCAATTTTAACCCAGACCGGATTCCAGGGAAGGGCGTGACATCAGCAACAATTTTTCCTTATTAATTCGAGGCAATCCGTAGAGGGTTGAATATTAATCCACAATAATGTTTAACTTATGAACAATTGTATTCTGTGATAGGTACACAATTGAGTCAATTTTAATTAATAAAAATGAAATTGATTTATTCTTAAAGACTGTTTTTCATTTTAAAAAGGGTCAATAGAGTGAGTTATGGGGTCACGGTAAAAGGGTAACGTGGTGGCAAGCTTTTGACATTTTTTTGTATAATTTGATTGAAATTCTGAACACAGGGCCATTTCGGCGTATAAAACATAGTCGTCGTGACGGGGTCACTTGTGCGGAAAACACGCTTCGTCGCTTTCTACTCCTCTGTTTGCTTGTCTCGTCCTTGAGCTAATATATATCGCTGGATCCAATTTCCTCAATATCTAATATGATGTTAGCGAGCGGGTAGCACCGCCAGGAATGCCGCTACCTATAACACTACCGTATGTGTATCGGGCTTTTTCCCCGGCTCAGTATCGGCCCGCGATATTATTATTTGTTATTTGTTCCGATATCGATAAACCGTTACAATTATTATTATTATTACGGCATCACCTCGCTGAAAGATTGATTTATTGACTGATTGATGGGAGTGAAATCGAGTTATTATTTGATGCCTTTCGAAATATTGTAGTCCTGTAATAAAAATGAAAGCCTCGCAACTCTTGTTTGAAAAACGCGACGAGGTTGTTTTGCTAAATATCCTGTTAATTGAATAGAGCAACCGGCTTTTTCTGTTGAAAGGAAAATAAAAGAAACTAATGCGGTTAATGCAATTCGTTACGGAGTTTAGATATCGCCATTTATTTCAGAAAACTAAAATAGAAACTGAAGAAAATGAGCGGGGGTGTTGATGGGGGGGATCGAAAAAGGAGGTCTCCTCCACCACTACCATAAAAAGTTCGTGGCGGTCGCACCCCCATAAAAAGTTATAGGGGCTCAAAGTTAATAAATATGCCAATTTTTATACATTTCTAGGCATGTAAATATTTATATAGTCATTCTTAAACAATATTCAAAGGTAAAAGTAATGAGAAATACATAAAAATATTGAGAAAGTTATATAAAACATTATTTAAATATCTTTATCAATAGGGTAGGTTAGGTTAGGTTATCGGGTTTTGTTCAAGTGACCATCCTCTTTCGATCCTCCACCTCAAACCGGTTGCAATATTTTTATTATTGAATGTTATTTGAATTATAGTGTATGAAAATTGCCAAAATAATCAACTTTCAACCCCCCATAACTTTTCGTGGGGGTGAGACGGCCGCAAATTTTTTATAGGGTTTTACTCAGATGATCACCCTCTTTAGACCCCCCTACCCTCTTTCTATCCACCTCACCCCCACCCCCATCTAACCCCCATAACTTTTTATGGGGGTGAGACCGCCACGAACTTTTTATGATACAGTGGTGGGGGAGACATCCCCTTCGGGGGTGGGGGCCATCATCTAGACATTGACCAAATATAATTATTTTTTTACGCTAGAGTGATATCGTTTTTGGCCGAAAGTGCGGTTTCTCCATAAGAATTTCAGAGCTGCAAGTGATACAAAATTACTGTACGTTGAACTCTAAAATAATGGTTGTATCTTTCCGTATTCATTAGTTGGAAATTGAGTGAAGCATATAATCCTTCGGCTTAAATGTGCACTCTTTAGCACCTACTCATTATTTATTATCCGCCCACATGCTTTTACAAATATGCAAAAACAGACTTCCGGATGACTGAAGCAGGTGTGAACGGTACAAAACCGGAAATGAGTTATTTGCGATCTTCCATGCGCATTCTTTCCAGATTTTTACCAACTTTTTATATTAAATTAATATCCTGTTCTTTCGACGCTGACTGTCTTTAATATTGCGCTCAATATTTGGTTAACGGATAACTAGACACTAATAAATTAAAGGATGCATCATATTATGTGAAAAGTTAGTTCTTCTTCAGACTCACCGCTTGTTTCGGTGAATGCGTGAAATTAATCATCGAAAAATAAATTTAATGGCATCACCATGACGAGGTCTCGTGAGAGACAAGCACTCGCTTCGTTCGAGTATGTGTTGTATTATTTAATAATAAAAAATCTTATTGTGTAATAAAATTGCATGCAAGGTGTACAAATAGTGTTATGTCCAGAGATAATTTTCTACGTCTATAGTGCAGTTAGACTCTGTATGAATCATTTGACCTTAAACTAGTTAAAAATGTCTCTTTAAGTAAACTCGAAGTTATCTTCTTTTTTTATAAAGGAAGTACTTACCTTCGTGTATGAATAATGCATGTGAGCCATTGACAAAAGTAAACAGCTTGAGCGTGACACTTACTAAGAAGTTTTTATTTCTATTTGTTGTCGACGACAACATTTACTGCACCGTAGTACATAATTATTCTGTAATTACTTCTACTTACTTCATTATAGATATTTATTCACTTCGATATTTTAATGACCTCGTAAAACAACTGATGAAGTAAAACCATTTCTGCAAGATATTTAATTTATCCTTAAAATAAAGTGGCTTCATTGTTCATTTAAAACTGCTCATTATTAGTTTTATTATTTAACAAATTTTCTGGTCGATAGACAACGGCGGACTATAACCTACAAACTGCCGGAAAAAACGTATATAATGACATCAGTGACGTCTTCTATCGAAAGTTCTTAGCCATAATTCGTAAATATTTAACTTGTGATATGCAACATTCATTCTTTTGTAAAAAGGGTGATTGGTTCAGCGGTTAAGCCCTCACCTTAAACGTGGACTCTGGCGCACCAGTCCGCGTTCTACTCACGACCGACGCAGTAACTTTTTCCTTCATTTCTGATAAAATAATACATTCAGAGTCTGGTGACTGACACAACGAAACGAAGACGTCACTAATGACATGATATATGTTATTCCCAGCGGGTTTATACTTTATACATTATAAATGGATTCAGAACTTTTTACTAGGAAACCCGATTAAAATTGCCTGTCAAATGCCTGTTGATCGATTTTCCGTTAATTCAGTCGCTCATGTAGAACAAGCTGGTAATTGGTCAAAAGCTGAGCGTGTTTGTTGGAATAGCAGTTTACCTAAACAGACGACAACGGTACGCTAATGTAAACTAAAGTATTACACGTCCGTAATTTGGACTCAAGTGGCTTAATTATTTCTTCCTTGCTTACTGCTTCTGCTTCCGATATCGATTGGTGTTATTTTTTTTTTCATGCGCCACTGCTATCACATACAGCTAGGCTAGCAGAGGCAGGTGTTGACCTCGCAGTCCTGCAGTAGGTGCTCTGATAGGTACCTAGACCTCGTCTAGAATAAAAAACAACCTGATTCCTGTTTTAATTAAACTGCCAACAGGAAACAGAATGCAACACATATAGTGGCGGATACTATCCCTCTGTCTACATGTAAATACATACATGCAATTTAATTACTTAAAGCGTAATTATCATCATCAGTTAGCTAACTGTTGATTTTTTGGATTAGAACTTTTTTAAAAATGCTGGTAGCAGTTGCCACTGGTGCATAGGACTTACCTACTCATTAATTTGGGCCGTGTTTTCATGATGTATTTATGGATATGCAACCAAATATACACCCGAATATAGTCCCGTCCACTTTTCTCCATGGCGTTTTAATCCGCGAATATCTTTTAAACCGTTTATTAAAGTAGGGCGAAACTTAACAAAGCTACGACATTCCAAAAAAAATTGTTTCATTCCCACCAGCCACTAATGCTGTTGGTCGGGCAGTCCCTCCGGAATACGCCAGAAGGTAGGGCAGAAGGCCCTCTTCAGCCTTCTTTCAGGAATCGTGGGAATGGGTGGATGGTGATTCAGATGAGAAAGATGAGATGAGCTGGACGAAATGAAGACAGAAGAGAATGAAATATTATCTGTGGAGTATTACTGCCTCTGCGTTTGCCTAAGTGATCCAAGGAAATTACAGAAAAACCTGGACCAAGGCAGACGGATCCGGAATCGAACTGGCGTCCTCCCGAATGCTAAGCAATGGTGTAAACCTCTAAGCCATGCCGCTTCGTCATAGCATTCCACTCATCTTGTACTATATAACTGAGTCCAACAGAGTTCAGTACACAGAGAGAATATCCCTCTTCCAACTGTGGTGAAACCATCAACCTTCTTAGTAAGACAGAATATTCTTTGGAAAAGTTTCACCGTTTTATTCGAAGCATTTGAGGAAAATGTTCACGTTTATACATGTAGGGTTTTCGATTAAGTCTATCCAATGCCATCGTCATTATCTTTTTTATTATATTATGTTTCTTTGTTTACAGCTTCGCCTAAGTCGACCACATATTATCATTGAGGCCGGATCAAGTTTTGACTCCAATCAGAAGTTCGGTTCTTCATCCGATCTGGTTCAATGAAGTACACTCATCCACTAGTGATCATCTTTACAATACAAACTACATCAACGATTGGTAAGTACCTAGTTATTTAATTATTATTGACCAGAAAACTGCTTCCATCAAAATCCATTCAGTAATTCTTGAGTTTAAAGGTAATAGAACTCCATATAACAAAAAAGCGTCGCTTTCTTAGGGGAATCGTCATATGTAGGTATTGTTTTGAAGCACTATCTAAAATCTTAATACCTAAAAGAAACGTAAAAAGTTATATATTTTTTTTAGAATACTTATTACAGATTTTCGTTGTGTGGAAGGTTTATAAAAATCCTGTCGATTATTGTTATTCATCTTGGGTTGATAATGTGCGTTCAGCTGCGATAAATGCGTTTTAGTTTGATATAAAACCACCTAAACAACGTTGTGCAATTATCGGTTATCGCATGGATGCAATAACCTAAATTTAAAGCGAGTATTAAATAACGGCAACCACTTGATGCGGCCGGGTGTTGACGACGCTGCAACCGGGGCTTCAGAATTTGCATTCCGGGATNCCGAAAATCCGATTTCGTTAAATGGATTTTTCAATGCAAAAAGGCACCCGACAAAAACTCGAAGACGCGTCGTCCGACTTCATTTAACGAGGTTTGTCAAATTAGTTTATCCGGGATCCTTACTGAGCAATTTTACACAGCGTGTATACCACGGCAAATGGTCTGACCAATACGAACTTGCGTTTAAATTTCACTACAGCAGACCAATTTCAACAATACTCTTTGATGTGACATGTGATATGTCAGTTTTAGTTTTATTATATGCTCCCCCTTCGGGGGTGGGGGTGGATGGGATCGAAAAAGGAGATCTCCCCCACCACTGTACCCTTCGGGGGTGGGACCATCATCTAGACCTTTACCGAAAAATGTTAGTACATATTCGGTAAGCAGGTACTGTCAACAATATTCAAATCCCAAAAAATTGACTTAATTGATTGAAAAGAAAAGGTTAGAAGCGTTCGAAATATGGTGTTATAGGCGAATGATGAGGATACCGTGGATAGAGAAGGTTAAAAATGAAGAGGTATTAGAAAGAATAAGAGAACAAAGGATTCTATGGAAGTCAATGAGAAATAGGCGAGATAGGTTGGTACGGCAACTTCTAGTCTAGTCAGAGACATATTAGAGGCAGAAACAGGAGTTAGGAGGGTAGAGGTAGACCTAGATTAGATTACTCTTCGCAAATAGTTAAGGATGTGGGCTAGTTTTAGGGAAATGCGAAGTTTAGCTCAGAATAGGAAAGAGTGGAGGTACGTGTCCAACCAGTCTTAGGACTGACGACCTTATGATGACGATGATGTTAATGTATAATACTATTTGATTTTGGTGTTTGTTGCACAGTTTGTTGTTGTTAGAAAGTTAAAACGACCATACACTTTATTGTAAACTGTTAACAACATTTCGTGGTGGTGCTTGAACTTTGAATTGATGATTCTCTTAATAGATACAGTTGCTACTGTTTGAGTTTGCTTTTTTCGAGATGTAAGAACACAGGAACGATTTTACTCACGAGTAAGCCGGAGTTTAAATCCAGTTTGGATAATGAATTAGTTGAAGTTGTTTCTGGTTGGCATTTTTCAGTTTGCTTTTGCACTTGACGAGCATTTAAAACACATGGCCCAAGACAAAAAAGATTAATAAGGAATGTGCAAATAAACATAAATTACGGTTTTGGTGGGTAAACATAATCGAGTGTGACGGATAAATAGAAAGGGACCACCGGGATTCGTCTTGAAACACTTTCGACATTATGATAATTGCGTATGTCGCAAAGCCGAAATGAATTGCTGATTTGCAATTCAGATGCTTGAAGCCCCAACGCGCGTTCCTTTCGAAGTGGCGTACGCCCATNATTAAAGTAGGGCGAAACTTAACAAAGCTACGACATTCCAAAAAAAATTGTTTCATTCCCACCAGCCACTAATGCTGTTGGTCGGGCAGTCCCTCCGGAATACGCCAGAAGGTAGGGCAGAAGGCCCTCTTCAGCCTTCTTTCAGGAATCGTGGGAATGGGTGGATGGTGATTCAGATGAGAAAGATGAGATGAGCTGGACGAAATGAAGACAGAAGAGAATGAAATATTATCTGTGGAGTATTACTGCCTCTGCGTTTGCCTAAGTGATCCAAGGAAATTACAGAAAAACCTGGACCAAGGCAGACGGATCCGGAATCGAACTGGCGTCCTCCCGAATGCTAAGCAATGGTGTAAACCTCTAAGCCATGCCGCTTCGTCATAGCATTCCACTCATCTTGTACTATATAACTGAGTCCAACAGAGTTCAGTACACAGAGAGAATATCCCTCTTCCAACTGTGGTGAAACCATCAACCTTCTTAGTAAGACAGAATATTCTTTGGAAAAGTTTCACCGTTTTATTCGAAGCATTTGAGGAAAATGTTCACGTTTATACATGTAGGGTTTTCGATTAAGTCTATCCAATGCCATCGTCATTATCTTTTTTATTATATTATGTTTCTTTGTTTACAGCTTCGCCTAAGTCGACCACATATTATCATTGAGGCCGGATCAAGTTTTGACTCCAATCAGAAGTTCGGTTCTTCATCCGATCTGGTTCAATGAAGTACACTCATCCACTAATGATCATCTTTACAATACAAACTACATCAACGATTGGTAAGTACCTAGTTATTTAATTATTATTGACCAGAAAACTGCTTCCATCAAAATCCATTCAGTAATTCTTGAGTTTAAAGGTAATAGAACTCCATATAACAAAAAAGCGTCGCTTTCTTAGGGGAATCGTCATATGTAGGTATTGTTTTGAAGCACTATCTAAAATCTTAATACCTAAAAGAAACGTAAAAAGTTATATATTTTTTTTAGAATACTTATTACAGATTTTCGTTGTGTGGAAGGTTTATAAAAATCCTGTCGATTATTGTTATTCATCTTGGGTTGATAATGTGCGTTCAGCTGCGATAAATGCGTTTTAGTTTGATATAAAACCACCTAAACAACGTTGTGCAATTATCGGTTATCGCATGGATGCAATAACCTAAATTTAAAGCGAGTATTAAATAACGGCAACCACTTGATGCGGCCGGGTGTTGACGACGCTGCAACCGGGGCTTCAGAATTTGCATTCCGGGATTAAAATACATACAGCGATAATAAATAGTCCGCTTTGATGTTCATTTATACGTGAACGTGCCGTTTCATTTAATTTCGATGGATTTATGGCGTAGAACAACGGACCAATTTCGAACAACGTTAGTATAAATCGGATATCAAATAAAAAGGGAATTTAAACCTTTTGTTATTGCGGATGTGCTTTCAATATAGTTTCCGAGTGAGGAAGTCCTGCGTGATTTACAATTTCTCTTGCACGTAAATATAGCAAAAAAACATTTTGGAAAATTAAATCAGTTGGTCTCGCACAACTCAATCCAAATTTGAAAAAAGGGTAAATGTCTAGATGATGACCCCTTTCGGGGGTGGGGGTGGATGGGATCGAAAAAGGAGATCTCCCCCACCACTGTACCCTTCGGGGGTGGGACCATCATCTAGACCTTTACCGAAAAATGTTAGTACATATTCGGTAAGCAGGTACTGTCAACAATATTCAAATCCCAAAAAATTGACTTAATTGATTGAAAAGAAAAGGTTAGAAGCGTTCGAAATATGGTGTTATAGGCGAATGATGAGGATACCGTGGATAGAGAAGGTTAAAAATGAAGAGGTATTAGAAAGAATAAGAGAACAAAGGATTCTATGGAAGTCAATGAGAAATAGGCGAGATAGGTTGGTACGGCACCTTCTCAGGCATGAAGGTCTAGTCATATTAGAGGCAGAAACAGGAGTTAGGAGGGGTAGAGGTAGACCTAGATTAGATTACTGTTCGCAAATAGTTAAGGATGTGGGTGTTCTAGTTTTGGGAAATGCGAAGATTAGCTCAGGATAAGAAAGAGTGGAAGTGCGTGTCCAACCAGTCTTAGGACTGACGACCTTATGATGACGATGATGTTAATGTATAATACTATTTGATTTTGGTGACTGTTGCACAGTTTGTTGTTGTTAGAAAGTTAAAACGACCATACACTTTATTGTAAACTGTTAACAACATTTCGTGGTGGTGCTTGAACTTTGAATTGATGATTCTCTTAATAGATACAGTTGCTACTGTTTGAGTTTGCTTTTTTCGAGATGTAAGAACACAGGAACGATTTTACTCACGAGTAAGCCGGAGTTTAAATCCAGTTTGGATAATGAATTAGTTGAAGTTGTTTCTGGTTGGCATTTTTCAGTTTGCTTTTGCACTTGACGAGCATTTAAAACACATGGCCCAAGACAAAAAAGATTAATAAGGAATGTGCAAATAAACATAAATTACGGTTTTGGTGGGTAAACATAATCGAGTGTGACGGATAAATAGAAAGGGACCACCGGGATTCGTCTTGAAACACTTTCGACATTATGATAATTGCGTATGCGACTCTTAAACTACTGTTTCACCTTTCGATAGGCAAACATAGGGTAATGTATCAATGGTGACGTGCCACACATGCATGCATTTACGCCTATTGACCTGTTAAAAGCTACTCGATCGCCTGACCAACAAGAGCATTTGCATTTTAAACAAGCCATCGAGTATCGAGTTTATAAAAACAAAACCAATTTTCCATTTCGTCAGCGCCGGACGATTGCTGTACGAAAGCTTTGTGAAGGATCGAGACGCTGATGGACTGGAATGAACCATTCAAGGTCTTCCGTGGGATATTTAATACGAAACGTTTAACAGTTGATTTCTTTTCACGCCCCGTGAGTCCGAGACCAACTAAGTACGTTCGACAAGTGTTTGTATACGGTACAAGGGGCTCCGGCTTTTGCTTTACTGACTTTAGTGCGAATCGAAGTAGTTAGAGGCGTCGTTTCTCTTTAGATATGTCCAAAGGAATTGAATGGCATCATGATTATGCACCATTATGGTACCTACGCGTTTCTCAACATAACTACAGGGTAAATTATTGTCGTCG